CTGAGATATTGGAACACTGCTATTATGTCCCCCCTCGTCCTTCTCTTCATTAAACTAGACATACCCAATTCCAGCAGCCTTTCCTTATATGCCGTGGCCCGGTACCGATTCACGGACTGGGGATTCGGGACCCCTGTCATAAATTGAAATTAGCCTGTGACTTCTATAAGTAATCAAGCCTGGTGCTTGCTAGTCAATAGATAGAGCAATTTTTCTCAACCTTGGCAACTTTAAGATGTGTGGACTTCAACTCCCAGAATTCCATAGCTGGCTGTGGAATTCTGGGAGTTGAAGCCCATATTTCTTAAAGTTGTCAAGGTTGAGAAACACTGAGATAAAGTAACATAGACAAATGGATAGACATCTACTTTTGTCTCTTTTCCTGTACACTGTCCTAGTTTACTTAACATGATAAAATTGGGAATGCACCATTCTGCAGTGACTATTCATTAACTCTTATTATCTTGATCTGTTGAAACACCAGCGGAAATTGGCATTTTGTCTAGCCATAGTGATTTGCCTGCCTTATCTTCTCTCTTCTCTTTTTTCTTCTCTTAAGATTTCTTTCCTCTTCATCCCCCTTTTCGCTCGACTCAGCAGTGTCTGATATGGTGGGTAAAAGGAGTGACAGAAGACATTCTCCTTTTCTATATATGCTATCATATCATACAGACATCCAAATGTATGGAAAAAATGAAAAAAAATATTAGATGGATTAGAGAGGTAGAATACTTATTATGTATTATTCAAATGTATATAACTGGCCCTCACATATACAGGTAGTTCTCAACGTTTAATCACAGTTGGGATTGTAACTTCAACCATTAAGCAATTTAGTCATGAAATGAGTTGTGCCTGATTTTACAACCACTTTTGTCACAGTCATTAAGTGAATCATGGAGATTGTTAAATGAGTGACATAATCAGGAAGGAAATCTGGCTTCCCCAATTGACTTTGCTTATTGGAGGCCCCTTAGATGCTGTAATTTTGATCACATGACCATGAGGACACGAAGATGGTCATAAATGCAAGGACCAGCCATTAGTCACTTTTTTCAGACCCAACATAACTCCAAATGGTCATTAAATGAATGGTGAAGTCAAGGACTACCTATATATGACTCTGGGCAGCTCACTAACAATTAAATACAATAACAAAATGACAATATGACAATTTTAAAAAATGAGAAAAAAACCTAATATGTTATTTCTATGTTATTTATTGCATTGTCTATTTATGATTTATACTAGGGATTGTTCCTGAAGATTGTCCTGGTGTGTCAGAGCATGCACAGTCTTATTGCACGAGATAACCCAGGAGTAAACACAGTAAACAGTGGTCTATATTAAATGGTGGTTTATCTTACACTATCTACAATATCATACACCAGGAACAATATACATACACGTGCTAATACGGCAGGATCCAACACACCATTGTTACAGCAGGAAACAGAAGAGAGAGCACACATCCCTTTTATACAAGGCTCTTAAAGAGATACAGACCCTGCTTGCTCTTAAAGAGACACAGACCCTGCTGAGTCATTCTCATCATTACATCTTACATTACATCAGCTGGTTAGCTTTTAAATCATTACCTTGACATGGTGCTCCACAGGGGATTTTTGGACTTTGATGGGGGGAGCCCAGCTAGAACAAAGACTAGATCAGTTATAACATTTGGAAGATAATGTAAGTGATGTAAATGTTAGAACTATCCACGTGGAAATTGTTACAATTAAATTCCAAGTTCACTCCTGAGAATTATGTGTGTCCATTAGTGATTTGATGGGGATGTAGGAGAGAGACAAAGATATTGGTAGCACAATTCACTTTTTGACATCTAGTCAAAGAAAGTATATGTAGTCCTCGAATTATGACCACAATTGAGCCCAAAATTTCTATTGCTAAGCAATTCATTTGTTAAACGAGCTTTGCCCCATTTTATGACCTTTCTTGCCACAGTTGTTAAGTGAATCACTACAGTTAAGTTAGTAACATGGTTGTTCAGTGAATCTGGCTTCCTCATTGACTTTGCTTGTCAGAAGATCACAAAAGGTGAACACAATGACCCCAGGACACTGCAACTGTCATATATATGAGTCAGTTGCCAAGCATCCAAATTTCGATTACATGATCATGGGGATGTTGCAAGAGTCGTAAGTGTGAAAAAGTGTAAGTCACTTTTTTCAGCTTAGTTGTAACTTCCAAGGGTCATTGTTGTAAATCAACAGTACTAAACTGCCTTCTCTCACTTGGAATTGGCTTCATTGTATGTCATGTAGTCAAATCAAAATAACCATATGTCACTGTAATGTCTCCCTGTTTGCAATATGCTCTGTGGGCTGAAATTGTTTAGGAACGACTTTCTGTTAAGCCCAAAACAGAAAGAAGAAGTAGCCACTATAAGCAATAAATTCACAGCAGCATAACACTGTACAGAGAAAGCCTGGAGGAAAACATTCAGTTTCTTTTTTCTTTAAAAAGTTTAATCTTTTAGTGTTTAGCGTCTTCACACTGTGATGTGGGTTTTTTTTTCCACCAACCCAAGCAATTTGCCTGAAATGACAGACCTATTTTTACTTGGTAAAACAAATTATTTTATCCAATTCATGGGGTGGGGTGAGGTGGAACTGTTGTTTGTAAATGTTTTTGTACTTGATTTTTAAACTATGTTATGGATGTTGCACAAGTCCATTGATCAGTGTAGATCTAAGCCGAGTTTGAAGTAGTTAAGAAAGCAGTATAATTACCAAACAAATCACCTTTGGTTTGCCTCCAGCACTCCCACTGCTTCTGAAAATATAGACAAATGAAAAGAGCTAATAGGCGGAATTGATTTATTTGAAGTGCTGTCTGTCTTTTTCACTTTCTTTCTGATAACAGAGAGGTTGTGGCAGACCTGTCTCCAGATGTCTGAGTGAAGGTATAAGAGGTTTCAAACCATGCCCTGTTTGATTGCATTTGTCTGTGGGGGAAATAGAATAAGATTAATCTCGCTACAATGATATTTAGCTCCTGAGAGTATTTTCATGGACAGAAGAGAGTATTTCAGAACAAGATGAACAGATCTTTACCATTTTCATTCTGCTCAGGATATAAGAATGGGAAATGAAGATTGGTTGGCCTCTATGTGCAGTTAATTGCCTTTCTGTTAGCATCTTGCTTTAATTTAAAATCCTGGGATTAATAGCAGGAAATAGAGATGACTTGAAACAAATAACATAGGAAAGGGTTTTCTTCCACTGCATGCAAAAAAGGGTTGGTGCCACAACCATCATCTTGACTTTTTTTGATCCCTCTGTGGATGCTCCTGGCAGTTTTTGTCTGCCAGTGTGCTCTGCAAAGCCCATTTCTAATGACTACTACATTTGGGGTTTTATTTTTCTGTTTTGAAATGGCTTAGGGCTCTGTCCTATTTTATTATTATTATTATTATGGATCATCGCACAGTCAGCCAGATGTTCAGACTGGATTTGGCATTTTGTCTACCTATCGAGTCCTTACCCAGGACCTGGGATAGGCAGATGTGGATATTTGATGGTATTACAGATATTGTCGCAGGATGGAAGCAGTTCCTAGTAAGGCTGCCTTTTGCAATTGACTAATAGCGAATTTGTCAATGCCAATGGTGTTCAAGTGGTGCTCCAGTTGTTTTGGGATTGCACCCAAGGCGCCTATTACTATTGGTACTAACTTTGCTTGCTTTTGCCACAGTCTTTCTATTTCTATTTGTAGGTCTCTGTATTTTGTTATCTTCTCCAGTTCTTTCTCGTCTATTCTGCTGTCTCCAGGCACTGCCACATTGTTGTTGTTGTTGTTGTTGTTGTTATTATTATTATTATTATTATTATTATTATTATTTTAATTTTTGAAGTTTGCTTGCACTCTTTGGCACCCCGCATTTGCCTCTCTGGTTCTTTTCTTGTTAGCAATTTTGCTGACTTTGATTTATTTAGTTATTCATTCATTCATTTATTCCTCTTGTATTCCGTGGTAATTCCTTGGAGACTCCTTCCAGTTAGCAAGTAATTATAACAGTAAATATTCGTGATAAGTTGGGGAAAAAATAATAATTGTAATAACACCAATTTATGGCACACAACCTACTGTACGACAGAATCAACATTTCAAATGAACTCAACACATTTAGTCTAAATGGTATTGCCTCAGTCTATAAATGCACAATTTTGAGCATCTTTCAAAAAAGCAACAGGGAAGAAGGCAAGTATGATCTCAACAGGGAAATGTGCTTGACTTATATATAACAGTGTAAGAAAAATTGTTAAAATAAGTGTATGTAAGTGCAAACTAATAAAAATGAGGGATAGGAATGAACAGCATCTTGGCCACAATATCCTCATTCCCCCCCCCCCTGTATTTCCTATGTTCTAGATAATTCTGTTTAACAAGGATGGTATTTTTGCAGTTGTTAGACTGACACCCACAAAATCCATTCCTGCTTGTCTGTAGCTTTCATATGGGGACAATTCCATTGAACTGCATGCATTTGTATTGTTCCAGTGATCTTAGTGGAAGTGATGGCAGTAAAGATTGTTAGAGGTTTTCTAAGTTTCATGATGTCTGTCCTATGAAACATTGCTTTACAATCCTCAGAGGACTGTAGTACAGAGAATCCTTAACTTACAACCAATTGTTTCATGACTGTTCGAAGTTACAACAGAGCTGAAAAAAGTGCCTTATAACTGGTCCTTGCACTTATGGCGCAGTGGTTAAAGATCAGTAGTGCAGGCAAACTCTGCCCAAAGCCTGGAGTTCTATCCTGACGGGGCTCAACATTGACTCAGCCTTCCATCCTTCTGAGATGGGTAAAAGGAGGACCCAGATTGTTTTAGACAATATGCTGACATTGTAAATTGCCCAGAGGGTGATGTAAAGCAGTGTGAGGTGGATCTAAGTGCTATTGCTATTATGATCATTGCCACATCCTCACAGTCGTGTGATAAAAATGCAGGTGTTTGGCAATTAGTATGTACGTGTGATGATTGCACAATTGTGCAGTCATTTGCAGCCTTCTCAACCAGCTTCCGACAAGGTCAGTGGAGGAAGCTGAACTTGCTTAGCAACTGCATGATTCACTTAGTAACTGAAGTGGTTTGCTTAACAACCATGGGGAAATGATTGTAAAATTGGTTGTGAGTCACTTAACAATCACCTTGCTTAACAATGGAAATTATTCTTAAAAACTTCCAGCGTTGGAGCATTCATAGCTTCTGGAGGCAGGTTGTTCCACTGACTAATTGTTCTAACTGTCAAGAAATTTCTCTTTAGTTCTAGGTTGCTTCTCTCTTTGGTTAGTTTTCATCAATTGCTTCTTGTCTTGCCTTCAGGTGCTTTGGAGAATAGCTTGACTCCCTCTTCCTTGTGGCAACCCCTGAGATATTGGAACACTGCTATCATGTCACCCCTAGTCCTTCTTTTCATTAAACTAGACATGCCCAATTCCAGCAACCGTTCGTTATATGTTTTAACCTCCAGTCCCCTAATCAACTTTGTTGCTCTTTTCTGTACTCTTTCTAGAGTCTCAACATCTTTTTTACATCGTGGTGACCAAAACTAGATGCAGTATTCCAGGTGTGGCCTTACCAAGGCAATGTAAAGTGATATTAACACTTCACGTGATCTTGATTCTATCCCTCTGTTAATGCAGCCTAGCACTGTGTTAGCTTTCTTGGCAGCTGCAGTATACTGCTGGCTCATATTTAAGTGATTGTCCACTAGGACTCCGATATCCCTCTCACAGTTACTACTATTGAGCAAGGTACCACCTATACTATACCAGTGCATTTGGTTTTTCTTGCCTAAATGTAGAACCTTACTTTTTTCACCATTGAATTTCATTTTGTTAGATAGCGCCCAATGTTCAAGTCTGTCAAGATCCTCCTGTATCCTAAGCCTGTCTTCTGGACTGTTGGCTATTCCTGCCAGCTTGGTGTTGTCTGCAAATTTGATGATTTCCCCATCTATCCCCTCATCCAAATCATTGATGAAGATGTTGAAGAGCACTCAGCCCAGAACAGAGCCCTGAGGCACCCCACTACACACTTCACTCCATGTCGATGCAATTCCATTGAGGACCACACTCTGAGTATGGCCGGTCAGCCAGCTATGAATCCATCTGGTGGTGATACTGTCTAACCCACATTTTTGTATCTTCTCAAGTAGTAGGTTGTGGTCTACTTTATCAAATGCCTTACTGAAGTCCAAGTAAATTATATCCACACCATTCCCCTGGTCCACTAATTTTGTCACTTGGTCAAAGAATGCAATAAGATTTGTCTGGCATGATCTGTATTGAATGGTGACATCACTGTTGCCTGGGGGATGCCCAGTTAGGAGCTACTTTCATGTCTCTGTCATATTTTCCATTGTAATGGTATCCATTTATCTATTCACAGTCACCCGCTTTTGAACTGCTGGATCAGCAAGAGCTGGAGTGTGTGACAGGAGCTCACCCCATCCGGTGGCAGAAACCAGCTCTCAAACATGAGCTGCTGATTGTCAGCCCCGTATCCTAACTTCCTGACTACTGCACTCCTTTAGCAAGGTCAACCCTAAAAACTTTACAATCTGGTTATGCACCTTTGTGTTATGGAAAAGTAACTGAATTCATGAGAGATATGTCAAATTTAGCAGAACAAACCAAGCTTATGGCGTTGTGAATTTCTTTGTGTATGCTTCTTTCAGATTTGGCTCTTGAGATGCTTGTATAAAGATTCTGCCTGATCCTTGACAATTTGAAGTTTAAACCATTTGATGTTTGCAATTTTATTGGGACGCAAGCTTGTTCAATGTGACTATTTGTGATATAGTCACACTTGGATATGACAGACTTCCAAGAAGCAATTGGAAAATCTCACCAGATGTGAGTGATAAGTCAACAAATCCAGCATAATCATTTTAATTTGGCAGTGGGTATTCCTGCTTCTTTCAAATTACCTGCAGGTGGCTAAGCAGCAAGAACATTAAGCAATAAATTAATACATTTTCAAAGTGACAAAACAAAACCAAAAAACCAAACAACTGAGTAATAACAGTAATGAATGAAACTACAAGACTTCTCCGCCAATTAAAAAAAGAGACTCAACTATAAAGTGAGGCAATCAGATGCCATTAAAAGTATGGAAGTATAAAATTATACGCTGTTGAATGCTTAAAAGATTGTGAAATTGGTGCCAAGTAAAGATAATGTACTTAGCAAAAAAGTTCTGCCTTCAAAAGACCTACCCCAGGGGTGGGGAACCTTGGCTCTTTTATGACTGGTGGACTTCAACTCCCAGAATTCCTGAGCCAGCATGACTCAGCTTGGAAACCTTTCCCTTTCCCCTCAGCATGGCTGGCTCAGGAATTCTGGGAGTTGAAGTCCACCAGTCATAAAAGAGCCAAGGTTCACCACCCCTGGCCTACCCGTTTGGTAGATATTTGCCATACCTAAAATGGTTTTCTTTGTTCATGGTCCCTGACTTGTTTGTGTGTTTGCTATGTGAATGTAGTATTCATCCTCAAACACTCTAAGCAGATAATAATAATAATAATAATAAAAAATCAGAAAAAAGAATTTCTCAAATAAAAAATGAACAAAACCATCCAAAGGCAAAATTTTAAAAAATCCGACATAAGGGAACCCAGAGAAAGCTACAAAATCATATGTCCACAATGCTTCCCAGTTTTATTTGTTCTCCTGGACCCCAGGGAGGAATGGGTAGACCAAATCTCCCTAAAAAATGATAAATTCTGAAGAGGTTCTTCACAGTGAAAAGAAATGTTTCAGAATAAATTCATAAATTCATAAATAAATAGAAATGGAATTTCTTGTCCCAGTTCTGGTGGGTAAGTCAAGAACTATCTTGTACTGGAAGTCAGTCAATTTTGGTTGCATTTTTTGGGGGGGAGGTTCTAGAGCAGAATTTCTCAGCCATAGCACTTTTGAGATATGTGGACCTGATTTGCTAGGATAGAGAATTCTGGGAGTTGGAGTCCATACATATGATCAGAGGCAAATTCCTTGTGTGTCCAATCACACTTGGCCAATAAAGAATTCTATTCTATTCTATTCTATTCTATTCTATTCTATTCTATTCTATTCTATTCTATTCTATTCTATTCTATTCCATCCCATCCCATCCCCATTCCCCATTCCCCATTCCCCATTCCCCATTCCCCATTCCCCATTCCATTCTGAAAGCTGCCAAGGTTGACAAATGCTGTCCTAGAAGATATTCCAGAAGCCATTGATCAATAAATAAAGATCACTGTTCTGCCTGCTTGCTGGCATAACTACTTCAGCTGACCTTTCTGGGGTCCAGGCTCCAATTGCAATAGCCCAGTCAAAGATTGCACCCATGTGTGCATTTGCCTTTTGACACTCCCTTAAAATGCAAACAAATGTATCTCAGTCTTGCAACTGAGAAATTTATTTTCTTTCACATTATTTCAACTTCTGGACTGGAAGCACAGATCCGTCGTATCAGTGATTTAAATTTAGCAATGCTTCTGCACCACTGGCTCTCTTTCTTCCACCCTCTTGATTTTCTCCACTCAACTATAATACAATTGCATACAATTGTCAGGTGAATCCTTGCTTTCTAGAGCTGTACTCGATGCAGATCCAGCCAATGAAACTCATTGGTTTGCAAAACTCTTCTCATTCTTTTTAATTGTACTTCAATCTGATGCTTTTTGTGGAGATTGTTTGCATTTACATTTGGTGGAACTCTAAATAACAATTCCAAATTGGATGAACTAGGTTGAGTCTGTCCCTGTACAAGTTAAGACTAAATACCTAAGAAGCAACCAATCTTGGATTAAGAGGCTTGCAAGGTGCTACTGTTCCTTGTAGCACTGTTGAAAGGAAATGCTATCTGTAAAAGTAAATTCATTGTTTTCTTTTCACTATAATGACCCCTTCTCTGCTGTTGTTTAGAAGAGCTCTTCACCCAGGCCTTGACTCCCACTGTAACCTCAAGCCTAGGAGAATAGCCAGATCTTCTGAAATTTTCAGGATATCATCAGGATGAGAACTGTATGGAACGTTGTTATTGTTGTTATATGCTGTTTTCATTATAATATATCAATTCCATTAAAAATGAGAAGAAGGAAACAAAGCAAAAGTCATTTGTAAAGGATCTATATATGAAAACTTGGGTGAAGAGGTAAATTTCCAAGTGTTTAAAGATGCATCCATACTCAGAAAAAATATTAGGGAGAGTGCAGAGAAATCTAGGTTGAAAATTGAAGGATCCAATTTGGGTCGGTCACCGGGACCAGAGGTTTATTTTTCAGATCTAAATCTCTGGTCCAGATTGGATCCTGCAACATTATCCCGAGACACATATATTTGCCTTCATTCTTGAAAACTGAAGACTGCCTAAAATGTTTCATACAGATATAAAACTCCACTGGAGGGGGGGAAAATACTCTGACTTATATCTGTCTAAGTGACCCAATCTTCTTCTGAACCCAACCTTGCAGTAGGAATGGAACTATTATAAAATAGTTTTCTTGCAAATGATGATCCAGGAGAATATTATGACTGATAGCTTATTCATGTCAGAAGCATCATTATTAAAGTTTTATATGTAGGTATAGATACAAACATAAAAACTTAAAATTTAAAATGTTTAAAAGCCTAATTAAGGCAGCGGTTGCCCAGAAGCGTGCAGATTGCATTCCGTTTATTTTATGATTGATTATACTAAAGGTAATCAAGAGAAATCAATGTGATCAGTGGAATTGTATTACTACTCTCTTTCTACTTCAGAATGTCATCTATAAGATGGACCATGGCTGATTAGGACCAGAGCCAAATTCTGAATGAAAAAGGTCAAGGTGATTTGTCTCTTCAAAAAAATATTTCCAGCTACACCTCAAATACATTGCCACAAAAACAATATTTGTGACTGCGTAGTCACAGCAACCTGAAACTGTGGATTTCAAGAGAAGTTATCATTAAGATCTGCTTGATAGCTACTTGATAATGCATTGATAGCCACAAAGAAAACTTTTTTGGAGTCTTTGTGGTCATATAGAACTAGATGCACTAAAATGTTAGCCAGTTGCCTTATGACAAGG